GAAATGGCCGTTGGACTGGAGTGGTGTGGGGTGGAATATGATCAGGAAGGTTGATGTGATTCACTCAAACAGTAGCCTGAATCTTTGTTTATTTGTTTTCAGTCTCTCTTCATCCATACTGATGATGTGAGATTTTGATGTGAGAAATATTCAAGGATGAGGTGAGAGATTCACCGCTCATTTTCAAAGAATTGGTTTGAATGTGTTTTGATTTCTAACATTGTGTTTTTCTCTTCAGAAAGAAGCTGTTTTCTCACCTAGAATGTTCTTCACATCACTTTCAGTCAATGATTCAAAATGAGACTGGAATACAAAACACCAATATTTTTGAGTTCATAACTTGATGACTATAACTGTACTGTGTACATATTTAAACATATTTAGATTTAATATTGTGTACGCAGGCTTATATATTTGTCATATATGATAGTAATACAATCAGTCAGTGCTAAAGCAGTAACACTGAAATCAAATGTTTGAACCGTTTTGTACTATTTAAACTGTAGCTCTACATAGTTCTCGTTTCTAGTATGAGCAGAATTGAGAACAATGACTGTAAAGCAATAGCTGTTCCAGAAATGCCAGGTCGTTCTTATCCATGGGATCATACAGCGAGCCTGGAGATTTCAGAATGAGACTGGAATACACAACTTGATGACTATAACTGTACTGTGTACATATTTAAACATATTTATATTTAATATTGTGTACACAGTCTTATATATGTGTCATGTGATAGTAATATGATCAGACAATGTTAAAGCAGTAGCACTGAAATCAAATGTTTTTGAACTGTAGCTGTACATCATTTCTAGCATAAAGAGCATTGAGAACAATGACTGTAAAGCAATAGCTGTTCCAGAAATGCCAGGTCGCTCTTTTCCATGGGATCATACAGTGAGACTGGAGATTTCCTGAAGCTTCATGGTTTGGTTTGTGGATGAATTGTCTAGATTTGAACTCCTGTGACTTCAGGCACTTTATTCTGGCATGCAGAAGATGATTATTCTTCTTTAAACGTGTCATTACTTTACTTGTACTTATTTTTATCTGAAGCATCTAGTTCCTGGTGTCAAGTGTCTCGTTCAGGTGCACAGCACAATGATCTCTGTTTTTGAATTGCATGAAGCAAATGATCACGGGGATTAAGTATTTTGATTCTGTTCACTTTGTGAAAGGTTATGAAAGTGTCCAAGTTTACATTACACTGTCCTTATTCCTAAACAGGCGTTTGTTTTCAGTCATTATGATGACTACCCAAATCTGTCCAAGTGTCTGTTGCTTTGCATTCCACAATAAATATTTCACTTCAGCCAAGAAATATGACCTTCTATATCTTGACTTATCACATAGAAAGTTATAGAATATCTAATGTGATCAATGATAAATACAGCTGCTTTGTTGTCAGTTTACTGGTGCAACTAAATAAGTGAAGAAATAAGTGCATTAACATACACTGTATTAAATTGTTTTCAAAGTTAAAACAAAGATTGGAGTACATTTGGTAAGAAATACTATTTCATTCTTTGTACTTCAAAATTGCACATACATTTAATTACTTGCCGTTTCTTTCTTTGTCTTTAATTGTTAAATGTAGCAATTTCTGAGTGAAAATTATTTCAACTATTTTTTTCAGTCTATTGAACACTGCCTTTTCTTTCAGATGACATTTAAAATAAATAACATTTAAAATAATTAATAAAATACAACTAAATAAAATGGAATACGAAGGAACACATTCTATATGTTACGTATATATGACATAAACATAAACATTATACAGCCTACATTTTTTTTCTTTTGAATAACATGCACTGATAAATCATCTTTATAACTAGAGCAGGAACATGAATTAAAGGGGTCATATGATGTTGCTAAAAAAAACATTTTAGGTAGGTGTGGCTGACTCTTAACTTTTATAAAGAATATCTCTTTGGATTTGAGACTTTAGCCTTTGCAACTTTACAGATCTTCTTTATGCACCAAGAGCTTGTAACACTCCAAAGAGAAAGGAAAAATTGAAATCGCATCATATGACCCCTTTAAGAAAAAAACAATTGAGACAAATTTCATTTTCATAAATGCTACTTCACTAATAAAACGGGTCAAATATTTGACATTTAATTAATCCCGTAATGCTATATCCTCGTTTAATGCATGAGCTCATGCATGTTTACATTAACTCCTCTACTGAACACGTGACTTAGCACACACAATGGAGTAATTTAGTACTGGTTTTACAACTCTTAACCTCAACACAAGGCCACTTCCCTGACGTTTGCATTTTAACCTTAAGCTGATTGCGTCAATTGTATCACAACCAAGCAAGTCTTCATTACAGAAACATAATGTTTGATGTCGGTTTATTACTGTGACTTAAAGCTTATTGAGTAACATACATTGCTCCTGGTGTTTTGTGACACTGAATTGCTATCTAACACTCACAAAAACAATTTAATGCGACTGACAATCATATACAAATTGAATTTCTAAGTCTTAATAAAAGCACTTTTGTTTTACTGCAGAAGGTGCCAAGGAAGCTCAAGCATTTCAATCATGTTTGCTCACTATATCATTCCCAGATCAGAGTTTTGACTTGGTTTGACTTGGTATTTTTCACAATATTAATAAATCTAATCTTGAACAGTAGGCCTACAGCATTCGAACCGCACCCTCCATGAAGCAGGTGATCCAGATAACCACATTTACGTCATGATTTGTCAATCATTGTGCATTGCACGAATGTTTTGATTGTACACTGTCGGAAAATGATGAAGTAAACTTCCATGCACATTCTACAGTTAAAAACCCCCTGCAATTCTCAATGGTTGGGTCACTTGTCTGATCTGATGTGAACAGCAGGGGAAAATAATGCTAAACGCAAATAATCAAATGCAGCTAGCCAAATCATTATGCATAGTTAAAGATAAAATAAATTAAATTAAAAATAACAAAATAAATTAAGTAGTGGAAAGTGAAGTAATGTATACACTGAAAAAAGTATTTTTCAGAAGGTTCACAGAATATTCCAAATTAACATTCATATAGCCTAATGTTTTCAATATGAAAAAATGGAACGTTCGCATAATCGAAAAAGGATAGGCTATTTAAAATATTCTAGAAACTGGATGTCTTGAACGTTCAGATAACATTCAGAAATAACGTTCTTAGAACATATTTCTTTGAGCTGGGTATCACTTCTGATGTGGTTTATGCATTTATTGTCTGTTTCCCAAGTTCACCCAATTTCATGGTAGCCTAATCATTTTGAATATAATTTAACCTAAAACAAAAGAGCACAATGCATTGTTTTAATATGAAGGAATTTTTCGTATTGATTTAAAAAAAAAAGAAGTGTTTCACTTGTATTTTAAATTTGGCACTGCATTGCGTTAACGGAAATGTGCGTACAATGAATGTATAATATGGCAGAAAATGTGTAGCCTACTTTTTTACTGCAGAGCATTGTTTTTTAAAGACATTTCGTCAGAGTGAAGTTGCAGTTAAAAAACAACTTTTGTCACCGTCAGTAAAGCAAGTTATTTTTTTCCGCGTTTCGTTTTTGACGCTTGCGTCAGTGGGCGGAGTCTGAGAGTAGGCTAAATGACAGCGCACTGAGCGCAGATCTCACTTTCATTATCGCTGTGTTTCTTGTTCTGTTCTCATCATTCATCAGGGTGATATTCACACAGAGCTGATGTGGATGTTTCTGCTCCTCGTCGATTCACTTTTTACAGTCATCAGACGGTGAATAAAATACTTTCATCTTAATGTGTTTGTAAAGATACCACGTTTACACGCTTAAAGCAGCACTATGTAACTTTTGGCGCTCTAGAGGTTAATAAACAGAACTGCACACATCCCGCGGAAGAACATTCCAACCGGAGCTACTTCTCTCAGTTTATGTCTATGGCGATTCACGCAGAACTTGTGGATGAGTAAATGCTGGCAGGGGATGTGAACTATCCCTTTAACATTTATAAAGTCTTGTGTATTTGTTTTAAGTGAATGACAGCAGCATATTTTACAGTAAATACATGTAAAACACTGTAGGTTGTCATTTACTCAAAATGTAGTCTGACGTGAGTGTTAATCTCTGCAGTGTTTTAAAGCATCTCTGTCCTTTTGCTTTTCTGTCATGGTGTTTGATCTGAAAGTCTCAGAAAACATTTCACCAGAAAACATTTTTGACTGTTCACTGTAATATCGCTGCAACTGTACGCTGCTTTACTTCTTTTATTTTCATATTTGTATATAACTTGTATATAGTTTTTATAAAATAAAAAACCTCTGTGAGGTGTGCATTGCATCTAATAGTAGACATCTGTCGCCACTTTGTGGTTGTGTGGATTTGTTTAATTACATTTGAACAATGAATAAGAACAGAGTGCTGCAGGTACAACATATTTTTTCCTAAATATGATGGGTTTTTGAAATAAGGTCTGTGGTGGATGCTGATAAAAGATTCAATGACAGAGGTGAAGAACACAAACATTTTGTAATAATGACTTAAAAGATGAACCCGGAGTAGACATTAAGAAAAAACAGAAAAAAACAAAACAAAAAAAACAATCTCATCACAGTTCAACTGAAAAACTTTAGAAATTGTTTAATGTAAAACAAATGTTTGATGTCCAGTAAAGTTGAATCATGTAAATCATGTTACTGTGGTTGTGAAAAGAGAAGGACAATGCTTGACCAAACTGCCACCAGATTCGAACTTCACTACTAATCTTAGCAAATCACCCTATTAGATTAAATTACTATATTCAAACAAATTCCATCTTTTTCTTAATCTGAATGTCAAATTACTTGTTGTAAGTCATGCATCTGAATGTGAACTTTGCTCACTTAGACGACTTCGGGCAATGCTTTTTTATATGAGCCTGTAGATTAGATGATGAGACAAAACTCTTCCCACATGAAGAGCACTGATACGGCTTTTCTCCAGCATTAACTCTCTCATGTTTTCTCAAGGTTGATGAATCAGTGAAACTCTTTCCACAGTGTGAGCACTTGTAAGGTTTCTCTCCAGTGTGAATCCTATGGTGTTTTTTTAAGTTGCTGGTTGTAGTAAAGCTCTTCCCGCAGTTAAAGCACACATGAGGTTTCACACCAGTATGAATACTCTGGTGGACTTTTAAAGTGTACAGACGTGTAAAACTCTTTCCACAAAAAGAACAAGCATGAGGCTTCACTCCAGTATGAAGTTTAAGGTGTTTTCTTAAGTTTGATGCCACAACAAATGTTTTATCACACTGATCACAGCTGAATGATCTCACTCCAGCGTGAGTGTCCAGATGCTCTTTGAGAACGCTTCTGTCTCTGAAACTCTTTCCACACTGAGTGCATGTATAAGGCCTCTCTCCAGTGTGAGCTCTCATGTGTCTCGTAAGGTTCATTTTATCTCTGTAACTCTTTCCACAATCAGAACAGGTGAAAGATCCTTTGACTCCAGTTTTTCCAGCTTGTTTTTGTGTGAAAGTCACTTCAGTCTGTGAAATGACTGCCTTTCCTTCTTCATTTGTGAAACGATGAGGTTTTTGAAACTGATGTTGTTTGTCTTCATGCACTTCCACTGGGTCTAAAATCAACAAATAACATTCTCATTATTTAAATAAAGAAGGACAAATGAAAGCACAAAATATATAGTCACAACTCAATATGGTCACAATTCCACCAACCTGTTAGTTCCTCTGTATCTTCATCTCTCATTCTGCAGGGTTCTTCCTCAAACTCCATCTTTCCAACAGTATGTCAGTAGTTTCTCCTGGAGTAATTCCTCCTGCTTGCTTCTTCTTCAGCTGTGGGAAGATGGGAATATTCTCCAGCATTTAAACTCTCATGAACGGCTGTGGAGCGGCTTCACTGAAGGTGTGAATTGTGCTCATTTAGCAGATGCTCAAACACTCACAATCACTCTCAATCGTCCAGCTTTAAGTGTCTTAATCAAATAGTCATTTAGAAACAATTCCATGGATTTATTTGACTTTTTACAACATAGATAAAAAACACTACTAGTAAAAATATATGTAAATCCACAAACATAGCCCACAAACACTCACTTACATTCACTTATATCACCACAATATGCTAATAATCTGTTAGAACAGAAAATAGAATAGATTGTGACTATATTGTATTGCCATAGGTAGAATTTCAATGTTTAATCAAATTAGTTTGGACATAGTTTTTAATACAAAGTTTAATATAGTAGCATTATGCACTAATCGGATGAATGAAAGAATGATACAATGTAAAGTTAATATATGGAGAATGAGAGACAGAGATTTATGTTCAAACACTTTCTTGCATCCAGACACTGAATAACAAGAAACATCAAATGAGTGTTGTGTTGATCTGCTGTACATAACTGTTATTTTTGTCTTTATCTTCTCAAAAGTGTCATCATTTATAATCAGAAACGAGGTCTAGATTTCCAGCACTGTTAAACTATCAGTTCTTCAATTCTCACAGCAGCTCAGAGTGAAGCTGAAAGATTATTAATGAGGGTTGATTGCTGTAATCAGACATCCATTAAACCTGTGAATGTGTGAGAAGTAAAGACAAAGGAAGAGTTTGCAAATCACCGATATGAGCATTTAAGCATTTAACTAGCCTATTCAGTTGTTCATATTGTGTTACACTCTTTGTTTACATTAATTAATCACATTAAATAGCCTATCTTTCTACAATCTTTACACTTTGCCATGTAAATAACCAGTAACGCGTTTCTCAAGTTTTTCCTACTTGCAACATTGGTTTCATTTTATTTCGGATCTCTGAGTCCAAGGCTGCGTTTACACTGCAAGTCTTAATGCACAGATCCAATCTTTTGACCATATCCGATTTTTTGACACGTCTGTTTACATTCACTTTAGACACGACTGGTATCCGATATCTGTGTTTACATTAATTCCCACCCAAAAGGATTGTCTGCAGTGATCGCTTTACTATGCACATGGTAGACCCTCGGGTTTTAAATGGCCGTGCTATTAAAATTATTATTTAATTCACGTCAATGGCCATTATTATTTGATTAAAACGCCATTAAAAATCTTTATGAGCAAACGTGTCGCCCTCGCATTGGGAGTCCTGTGGAGAATCGGATATTTAGACGTAGGTCGGATGTCCAGATATCAGATGTGTATCCGATTAAAATCCACATTTGGAAGTGGCTCAGATCGGATGCAAAACAATCGGATCTCGTGCGGGTTTTTGTGTTTACGCGTGTGCAACAAATTCCGATCTGTGTCAGATGTGAGCGAAAGATCGGATTTTTTGTGCCAGTGTAAACGCAACTGATTCTGTAACCGTTTTTGATTCACTGAAATAAACCGACTCTTATAAGTCATGAGTTCATGAACAGGATACTCCTCGAGCTCAGTGGATTTATAAATTGTCAGATTTATTTCACCCAAATAAATAAATGAATGTACTCACAGTCTGATAACCCATAAACAGCAGTTTTAGAGTCAATCAATGAACCACGTGGTTAAAATGAAAACAAACAACTTCATATTGAAGTTATTCTGAGGATCAAGAGTCAAGACAACACAAAATCTTTTTAACCCTGTAAAGCTTGACATATGAAATAACAGTAAGAAATATACTTTTTTTTCTTTTAATGTAACAATTTATTGAACCTTTAGACAAAAGGTTTGTGTTTAAAATAATGATTTATTACCATCCAGTTGATAAAGCCCTTGATTTCATGCAAATTAAAGTACATTCAGTATCAAATTATTTACTTGAAAGTAATGGATCTGAATTTGGACTTTGCTCACTTAGACAACTTTGGGCAACACTTTTTCTTATGTTTTATTAGAGTAAATGAGCGAGTGAAATCCTTCCCACATGAAGAGCACTGGTGCAGCGTTTCTCCAGTATGAACTCTCTCATGTTTTTTCAAGGTTGATGAATCAGCAAAGTCTTCCCACAGTCAAAGCACATATAAGGTCTCACACCAGTATGAACACGCTGATGCACTGTTAAAACTCTTAGTAGTGAAAAACTCTTTTCACAAAATGAGCAAACGTGAGGTTTCACAGCAGCATGAATTTTAAGGTGTGTTCTTAAGTGTGATGCCAAAACAAATGTTTTATCACACTGATCACAGCTGAATGATCTCACTCCAGAATGAGAATGCAGATGCTCTTTGAGAACGCTTCTGTCTCTGAAACTCTTTCCACACTGAGTGCATGTATAAGGCCTCTCTCCAGTGTGAATTCTCATGTGTGTCGTATGTTGCGATTTACGTATGAAACTCTTTCCACACTGAGTGCATGCAAATGGTTTTTCTCCAGTGTGAATTCTCATGTGATCATTTAGGTGTCCTTTATCAATGAAGCTCTTTTCACACTGAGTGCATGTATAAGGCCTCTCTCCAGTGTGAACTCTCATGTGTCTGTTAAGTTCTGGTTTACGTATGTAACTCTTTTCACACTGAGTGCATGCAAATGGTTTTTCTCCAGTGTGAATTCTCATGTGATCATTTAGGTGTCCTTTATCAATGAAGCTCTTTTCACACTGAGTGCATGTATAAGGCCTCTCTCCAGTGTGAACTCTCATGTGTCTGTTAAGTTCTGGTTTACGTGTGTAACTCTTTCCACACTCTGTGCAGGCGAAAGAACCTCCATGGACTCCAGTTTTTCCAGCTCGTTTTTTTTCAGTCTGTGAAATGATAGCTTTTCCATCTTCATCTGTGCCATAAGGTTTTTGAAACCGATGCTGCTTGTCCTTATTCACTTCCATTGAGTCTAAAATCAACATATTAAATGATCAATAGGTTATTCAATTAAAAAATAACAAATGTGAAATATAATGTTTCATATCGTTCGTTATCAATGATTATTGAAAATGAACAAAACAGCATCATGTATTTATGCATAGCTTAATACAAATAGCCAAAGCGCCGATCACACGACTGCATTTAAAAACACACGAGAGGCAGTGGAATGGAATAAAACCCCCACAAATTCTCGAGACATGTTTTCTAAAAGTTGAACCTCTTTTAACTTTACATGGCTTTCTATTCATCTCTTGTGCCAGACGCGAGTGCAAAAGTCATAGTTGTGCGTCTCAAGAATGCGCCGAATACGCGTCCAGTGTGAACGGCTTGGATTCGGTTTAACCAATATCTTGAGCTTCTATATTTCTCTAATATTTTGAATGGAAAATGCAGCAGCGGCGCATCTAGTGGTTTCTACTGGATATAGACTAACAAAAACATTAAAATGCAACAACATCATCGTCACCGCATCTCGTGCAAGTCTCTCTGACGCACACCTAAAATTCAAACATACTGTTTTTTTCATTCGAATGCGAATTTTTATTTTAAATTGGACTAATAGGCTATTCCTTTTTATTTTATTCACACTCATTTCATTCACACACTCATTGCATGTGCTTGTGTGTTCTGTTGGCTCTCTGCTTGTCACTCATAATAACACGCGCCTTTAAATAAAAAAAAGCGTGAAACTATCCTGCGATATATCGAACATTTTTCTATTGTTATCGATGATGGTGTACTGTCGAAAAATATCTATACCGTTTTATCGCCCAGGCCTATGTGAAAGAAAATTAAATATACTTGAGTCTCAATTTAGCAAAAAATACTGAGTCTACTAGTATCTAATTTTAATTTTTATATGTCAGTTTTCATCTAAACGTTCCTCATCAGTCATGAAAGAGAATGAAGGAAAACACCAACCTGTTTGTTCCTCTGTATCTTCATCTCTCATTCTGCAGGGTTCTTCCTCAAACTCCATCTTTCCAACAGTATGTCAGTAGTTTCTCCTGGAGTAATTCCTCCTGCTTGCTTCTTCTTCAGCTGTGGGAAGATGGGAATATTCTCCAGCATTTAAACTCTCATGAACGGCTGTGGAGCGGCTTCACTGAAGGAGTCAATGGAGCTCATTTAGCAGATGCTCAAACACTCACAATCACTTTCAATCATCCAGCTTTAAGTGTGTTAATCAAATAGTTGTTTAGAAGCAATTGTATTTATTGTAATTTTTACAATAGAGAAAGGAAAAATAGATAAACAAAAAAAAATCTATTAAATACTACTACTAAAATTATACATATATATATAACCGGATGTATGAAAGAATGATACAATGTAAAGTTAATGTAGAATGAGAGACGGAGATTTATATTCAACAGTTTCTTGCATCAAGATACTAAATAGCGACAAACTCTTATTTCTTTATGGTATTTTAGTCTTTATCTTTTTAATCGAAACTTTAAGTTTAACATCACAGTTTTAAAAGGGAAACGGCACTTTAAATGGTTACAAATCGGATGAATGAAAGAATGATACAATGTAAAGTTAATATATGTAGAATGAGAGACAGAGATTTATGTTCAAACACTTTCTTGCATCCAGACACTGAATAATGAAGAACATCAAAGGAATGTTGTGCTCATCTGCTGTACATAACTGTTATTTTAGTCTTTATCTTCTCAAAAGTGTCGTTATGATCAGAAATGAGCTCTAGATTTCCAGCACTGTTAAACTATCAGTTCTTCAATTCTCACAGCAGCTCAGAGTGAAGCTGAAAGATTATTAATGAGGGTTGATTTCTGTAATCACACATCCATTAAACCTGTGAATGTGTGAGAAGTAAAGACAAAGGAAGAGTTTGCAGATCATAAATATGAGCATTTAACTCGGTTGTTCATGTTGTGTTACACTCTTTGTTTACGTTAATCACTCGCATTAAATAGCATATCATTCAACACAATAATTTTTACACGTTGTCATGTAAGTTAAAGCACTAGTTAGGAAGTTTTTCTTATGTACAACACTGGATTCGTTTCACGACGCACGTGACGAAAGTAATAATTCAGGATTCGATCTCTGAGTCGAATCGATTCTGTAAGCGTTTTTGATTCACCGAAATGAACCGACTCTTATGACTCATTAGTTCGTGAATCGGATGGTCGAGCTCAATGCATTTACAAGTTGCCAAGTTTATTTTCCCCAAATAAATAAACAAGCAATGTACTCACAGTCTGATAAACAGCAGATTTAGGGTAAATCAATGAACCATGAAGAGGATCATCATCATCATCATCATCTTCCTCTTCTTCTTCTAGGGTTTGTTGGTGGTTGGCAAACAACTTATTGGTGCATTACCGCCACCATCTGGTATGGAGTGTGGACCAGCAAGTCATATATAGCTACATTGATCAAAAAATAAAAATAAGTAAATAAATAAAATAAACCCTATATCCTTCCACTTATATTAGTTTCTCTAAGATATTGAAACAATAGATTATAACACATGTCTTTTGACTCTTTCCGCAAAATATCTTTTAAATCGTATTTTCGTCTCTCCCAATTTTTGAATGAAATGCCTTCTTTCTGTTCCATATTTCTGACAATATATCATAACATGTTCTACTGTCTCTTCCTCCCCACAGAACTCACATTTCCCTGTGTTATCTTGAACAGTGTTTCATTTAGTCCAGTGCGTCCAAACCTAAGCCTCGATATTATTATTTCTCCTCTCCTATTCCTCCCTGTATATACCTAATTTCTCCCACTTTCCTTCGAATCCTATGAAACCATTGCCCTTTTCTTGTTTCTTCCCATTGACTTTACCACTCAATCTCTTTTTAATGATGCTCTAGATTTCTGCCGTGCTGATATTAACTGTGAAATCAATATGATTAATTTTAGTAACGTCCTTTGCTATTTTATCTGCCATTTCACTTCCTTTAATTCCGTTGTGTGCTGGAATCCATAAAAAACACCATAAGCCCCATCACTTTAATTCTGTATAGTGTTTCTCTCATCTTTATTCAAATATCTGGTCTGCTGTTTGAACACTGTAAACTGGTTAACAATGAGCTTGAATCTGAACAAATGATTGCTCTTAGCGGCCTTGTATCTTCTATCTCTCATTGCTAGTGGCATTTCTCCCATTTCAACCTGAAGTGCCTCTGTTGGGGTTGTTTTAAATCCTCCTGTGCATAACCTCAATGCCTGATATTGCACCCTATCCAATTTTTTAAGCAATGTGAATCTAATATTGATCTAATTAGTCCCACGTATATATTGCCTTCAAAGCCATTCTGTCTGCTCCCCATTCACTTCCAGCTAAGCACCTCATTACATGTAATATTTTCTTACACTTGTCTATTACTTTTTCTATATGTACAGCCCATGTAATTCTTTCATCAAACCATAATCCTAAAAATGTTAAATGTTTCACCCTTTCTAATTCTTGATTATATAACTTAAAAGTTATTCCACAGTCAATTACTTTCCGTGTAAAGATCATTGTTTTAGTTTTTTCAACTGAAAATTAAAAACCCCATTTATATGACAATTCTTCTTTTTTAATAAAACACAGTACTTACCAGGGCTCTCAAGTTTTATCAAAGGTTTGGAGTGAGATTACATCCGTTAGGGGAGGAGCCACTCAAATATTTGCAGCAGCGGCCCCTCGGCCCAATTCGCTCAAGTTTTTGCTAGCAGTTCAATTTGACCTATTGTTCATAATTGACCAGCACAAATAGAAATGATAACAATTGGTAAAACTGATAAAAGACAGAAAATTCATCCAAATAAAATAAACTGTTTTATATAATTCGAAAATATAAATGTATCAAAAAGAAAAGACATTTTGACCCCAAACGAGTCCACTGAACAGGAGTGCTCAGTGTATATACTGTACACATACAGATTGCAGAACCTGCACTGAGCACATATGTCAAGCTGTGTGTGTGTGTCTTCGCTGTCTTGTCCACTGACTCATCCACTATCTCTTGCGGTCTTCTTCACCGTCTCTGCCAACACCTCTTTCACTGTCTCCTCCTCTAGCAACCTTTTTAGGGGGACGACCCTTTGGTGCCCAGAAAGAAATAATACTCTTTTGCTCTTTCCCTGACATCTTTGAAACAGACAAATGCAATGATTAATGTATGCATATAAAACATTACTGAAATGATAGCCAGAGCGCTCTGCTTAAAGAGATGTAGTCTCTAGTCCTTTTTTTATTTTCAGGTAGCCAAAAGCTTCTGGTTGCAAAGCAGTTGGAGAGTTTTTGACTGCCTCAGTAATAATTTAGCACGAATTTGGCTATATTTCCCAACATCTTTGATCACAGGCAAGTAGGGATGTAACGATTCGTATTGCAACTCACGATGCAATATGATTCACGATACTGATTTCACGACATGATTTTCTCACGATTTTTTTTTTTTAACAAAATGAGATTTAAAACAAATTATAAAGGAAAAGGTGTCCTTTTATTATTGCTTGGACAAAATAACTAAATGATTAAAAATGCTGCACATTTCTTTGTGAAATTGAAATATGTCAAATAACAAAACTAAATTGAAATTTTAAAACAAACCCCAAATCAAATAAATAAATATAGACCTAATATATACAAACTAAGACTTTGCCTGTGCTCTTTCCACTTAAAATTAGAGGCAACCACTGCATTTTAATCATGCATTTAACCTTGCATTTTAATCTCAATTTTTTTTAAATATCAACTTCAAATTTGGAACACAACTTTTGTAGACATATGGCTTTAATTTTATAGCAATTTTGTATTTTAAACTATTTTTTCAAATATTTATTTTATATAAAATAAAATAAAAATAGTACAATATGTTTTCTTTACAGTGAATTTAAACTTCGATAACTTTTTAATACTTTCACTTTATTAAATAAGATTATGTAATAATCTGCTAATTGTCTTCTTTAAAAAGAGACCAACCTTAGGTCTGTATTCAAAAGCGTTCATGAATTATAATTTAAGTTTGGATAGTGCACTTTCTCCTGGATTTTCACAAATGGGGATGACAGTTAAGGGGTTAAACTATCAATTCTTCGATTCTCACAGCAGCTCAGAGTGAAGCTGAAAGATTATTGATGAGGGTTGATTGCTGTAATCACACATCCATTAAACCTGTGAATGTGTGAGAAGTAAAGACAAAGTTTGCAAATATGAGCATTTAGCCATTTAAGCATTTAACTCGGTTGTTCATTTTGTGTTACACTATTTGTTTATGTTAATCACATTAAACAGCCTATTGTTCAACACAATCTTTACATGTTTTAAGTTTTTACTATGAACAACACTGCTTCATTTCACGTCGCACATGACATAATAAACCAACTCTTATGAATAATCAGTTTGTGAATCGGACACTAGTCGAGCTCAGTGGATTTATAAGTTGTCAGATTTATTTCACCCAAATAAATAAACAATAAAAGGTACTCACAGTCTGATAAACAGCAGATTTAGAGGTTGAAATGAAAACAAACAGCGTCATCTAGAGGAAAATCTGTGGTACTGACCATCTATTATCATAACTTCATATTGAAATACTGCAAATTATTCTGAGGAACAAGAATCAACACTACACAAAATCTTTTAACCCTGTAAAGCCTGATAATGAATTACCAGTCAGAAATATTTTTTCTGTAACAGTTTATTGAACATTTAGACAAACGTTCTGTTTAAAAGAACGATTTACTTCTGTACAGTTGATGAACCCCTTGATTTCATGCAAATTAAAGCACATTCAGTATCAACCTATATACTTGAAAGTGATGGATCTGAACATGAATTTTGCTCACTTAGACAACTTTGGGCAATGCTTTTTCTTATGTTTTAGTAGATTAGAGGACCAGGTGAAACACCTCCCACATGAAGAGCACTGGTACGGTTTTTCTCCAGTGTGAACTCTCTCATGGGTTTTCAAGGCTGATGATTGAGCGAAACTCTTCTCACAGTGTGAGCACTTGTAAGGTTTCTCT